GGTTGATAGACCTCCTACCCTGACACGCCGATTAGTGGATTGGCCGTTTTCGGTTCGCGAGAGGGCGTCGCGGCCGTCATTTTTGTGGGTCCAGGTCCGTCGGTTTCGGTCTTAGGGCGTTTTCAGTAAAGGGTGGTTTACTGAAGGGAGGTTTGTCCACCGCCGGCTCGGGTCGGGGGCCACATGCGAACCCTACCCCTATCCCCCACAATTTCGGAGGGGGAAGTGTAGGGTTCACTTCGCTCGGGAGCTCCCGAACGACGTGAACCCCACCCACCCCTCCGAAATCGTGGGGGGGTAGGGGTAGGGTTCGCATGTGGCCCCCTAGTTGGTGCCACTTGTTGTCCCTCTGTTGCTCCGGGGGCTTCCGTGTCACGCCGCCAGCGGCCCAGAATCGGCCAAGATGGAACGACGCGGCGATCGACGAGCCGTCGATCTTCAAGGCTGAAGTTCACCTGTGCCCGCCCACGCGTCCCGCCGGATGGCTTGGCTTCGTGCGGGCGTGCGTTCGAGGTTGAACGATTCACGCTGCCTCAGAAATTCACGCCCAGGTCATCACGGCACGAGCCTGCCGTACCCCCCCTGTTTCGCCCACCCTCACTCCAGTCGGCGGCGAGCCTAGGGGGGAAGCGAGAAGGAAGGGGCGGGCCTCCTCAGAAGGCTCGGAAGGCCTCGGGCCTTCCAAGAAGTGCACGACGCCTTCACCGAAGACACCAGCAACGTTTCAGAAGGCTGGAGGGCCTCTGAGAAGCCCCGCCACCTCCTGAGAAGGCCAGCCCCTTCTTTCTTCCCACCCGGGCTCGCCGCCGATCCATATAGTTCAGAAAGCACCCCATCCATGCCACCGCGCCCGACGGACCGTTCGGCGCCCCCCCGCACCCTTCACGACGCGCGCCGACACCACCCCGTGACACGATCCAGCCTCCCCCATGTTCCTCGCTGGACAGCCCATTCCCAGACATACGGCGCTCCGATCTGTCGGATGCATCTTGTGGGTCTTCCCGCGGGAGAAGATTCATTGGTTTACGCTGCACCGCCAGCCCCTTGGGAGCCTTGGGCGCCTCTCTTCCAGGGGGGGCGTTGTCGTCGAAGCGTCTTGGCTCCGTGCAGCTAGCTTGGAAACCCACAAATCATGATCAACACTAGCCCTCATGGTTCGTTTGGGGCCATCTTGGAGACCTCTTGGGGACCTCTTGGGGTCCTCTCGGACCACATGTTCTCTCTCTCTCTCTCTCTCCCTCTCTTTCTTTGTCTCCCCCTCTCTCTCTCTTTCTTTCCTTGGGGCATGTTGGGGGTCTTGAGGGTTACCTTATGGAGAAGAGCCCCCAGAGCCCATTCGAGCTTCCTCTTGGGCTCCTCCTGGGGCCCTCATGGGGGTCTCTTGGGTTGTCAGGGTGGCCTCGATATTGGGGCTCTGTTGGGCCGTTTGGAGCTCTCTTCGGACCTTTTTTGGCCGTCTTGGGGCGACCTCGGGGGCCTCTTGGACTATCTGGACACCCCGAAGATTGAAAAGGCGAAAACGTATCACATACAGAGACACCAACAGGACACCATTGATTTGATGCATCTTGGAGGCCCCCTTGGAGGTCCTCCTGGGGCTCGGCTCTCTCTTGAGTCGTCATTGGAGCCCTTGGGCCTGTGTACGGCTATGCTGAAACCATGCGGGGTCCTCTTGGACGTATCTCGGGCCAGCTCAGAGCACCTATGGACCGTCATGAAGCTTCTTTGGAGGATCTGTACGCGCCTTGTAGCTTTCCAAGGCCTGATGAGTCCGCTGGGCCAGTCGGGTGGGACGCCCCCCTTTAAACCAGCTGGCCAGGCTCCCAGGGGAGGTGTTAGGGAGGGGGAGCCATCTCACACTCTACGCCTACCAGATGGGGTCCGAGTAGATGGGGTGGGAGGATCACGACGCATCGGCGATGTGGCTCAATGTGGAGCCCGATTTTCTCCACGCCGACGTCGCCGATGCATCGCCGACGTCACCGACGCACCGCCGATGCATTATCGTCGATGCATCGCCGATGCGGCGCGACCCTTCGACCCCATCTACTCGGACCCATCTGGGAGGCCACTGCACAGGCCGAGAATACCGGTAGGGGACGGCGAACTACCTGTGGATTCGGCCCCTCGGTGGGCTTATTATGAAGGCCTGACGGCCGGTGCCGCCGACCCTACAAGACATCGACGACGACCATGAGGGGGAGGAGGAGGAGGAGGAGGAGGAGGAGGAGGAGGAGGAGGAGGAGGAGGAGGAGGAGGCGGAGATAAGGAGGAGGAAGAAGGAGGAGGAGGAGAAGGAGGCGGAAAAGGACTCCCCCCTGGGTACCCGCAGGGGACGGCGAACGGCCTTTGGATTCGGCCCCTCGGTGGGCTGATTTTCGTCGCCAGCCGCGCTCTCAGGGCTGGGGGGGGTTCGGGGCGGTGCGCGGGCCCGCGGCCGCCCGCAGGCCCTCCCCCCGCCCGCCCGCCGCCATGGACCTGGGCGAGGTCCACCAGGCTCGGGGGTGGCCACGAGGGGGGAGATGCCACGAGGGGGGTGACTTATCGGGGGAGCGTAAGGCCCGGGTTTGCCAGGACTCGGGTTCGCCATTTTTTTTTGGCGACCGCGACTCGGATTTTGACGAGTAGGAGTTTCGTGGGATGTCTGCAGCGGGAGGCCTCGTCAAAATGCAGGCTCGGCCTCGTCATTTTTTTGACGACCTCGTCGGGGATTTCCGAATCCCCCGTACCCGGGTCTTACGTCTCCCCGAACTTAGTTGCCTCGAGGCGCCCGTTTTGATACGCAGCACGTGCCGTGCTCAAACCGTCCGCGTCCATACGCTGCGTGTTGGCTCAGCGGCTCAGCGTATTTGGCCCACGTTTTGGCGAACGCTTCGTGTCAGACCTGCGTTTTCACTGTACGTGTCGAGCTCCGCATCAATACGCTACGTGTTGCGTGTTGCGTATCGAGACAGCTCATGGCGGGGGCCAGGATACGGTAGGTTCGTGCGCCGATGGCGCGCCGGCGAGGTTGGCGAAGGGGTGCAAGGTTGACTTCCGCACGATGGAGCGGCGCGGAAGCACCGAGGGACACGGTAATTGCCACAGGGACCGACGGAGCTCAACATTGAACGATCGGGGCCGCGATCGGTTCAAGGTTGACCGATCGACGCGGTGTCAAAAACCTTTGCGCGCGCCGTCGCCGCACGAACCTACCGTACGGTAGAGGGAAGCAATTAGTGGGCCCTCCCCCTCCCCCCCAGATTCAAGGTTGGCACGCGCGGGGGAGATTGCGGTCGAAGTGCAATCCATTCGACCCACCACCGACACTGATAATGGGGGGCATTGACCGATGCGCCGATGAGTGTGGTATGAGTGTTTGCTACTTTCTTCCGAGGCCCCTATCATGGTGGGGGCCAGGATATTCCCCCAGGTTGCATGGTTGAGAACGCGAACAAACCTTTACCCAGGTTACATGGTTCCTCGCCTTATTCTGAAGTCGGGCCTCTCTTTGTACAGGAGAAATATCCGAAAATAGTTAAACATTAGTCTGGAGACGATAGTTCGAATATTCTTCATCATTTTGGAATACGTTTCGTATTTTTTAAAGTTTCGCCCCAAATCCCCCTGTATGGGGACATGCCCGACCTAATCTTACTCCAGTGCGTCCTCCTCCCCCTGGGCCGCGCACATGCCCGGGCCATGAGTTGCGAAGTCCCCTCTCGGACGCCCCCAGAGAGGCCCAGCTCTCGAGATTCGGGGCCTTCTTCCGGGCCAAGCGCGACGAGGTGATAGCAGAAAGGGACTCGGAGAAGAACGAGTTCCTCAGGGACCAGATTGCCGACCCCTCGGCGATCTTCAACGCCGCCGATGTCCAGCAGATCCTGGAAGGGTACCACATGCAGGTGATGATGCACACCCGCGAGGACCTGGACAGGTTCGCCTCGCTGTCCGGCGTGTACGTGTCCTTCCTCATGGCCCAGGCGGAGTCCTCCGGCATGGTGCTGCAGGTCGACGACGTGTCGGCCTCGGAGGACCAGAGCCGGATCCACCAGGTCTCAGAGCGCGAATGACCTACCCCGCTCTCGCTTCCAGGCAAAACCAAGCCATACCACGCGCCTCCTCGTCAAGCGGCCTGACCAGCACAGGCTGCAACTTGGCATCGTTTGGTGTCTCTTGGAAGCGAGGGTGGTCAAACGCGAGGTAGGTTTGTTTTCCCCCTAAGGTCGAGGAGCTCGCCGCACTGAACGCCCCGCCGCTGGCGCCGAAGCCGCGCGGTCAGCTGACGGCGCTCCCGGGCGCGGGCGGCGCGGACCTCGCCGTGCTGCAGGAGCTGCAGGAGCTCCGGGAGAGGGGCCGGCAGCTGGAGGACTACAACCTCAAGCTGCAGGGGGACCTGGACGTCAGCTCGCAGAGGTGCGCCGAGCTGGAGCAGGTGATCGCGGGCGATGTTTCTCCCCCAATCCCCGAGTTTCGCCCGAAAAGTCTGGCCGCTCAGAAGAATGGGAAAACCCTGGGATACACCCCAAGGGGGCTATTCGGACGCACCCCTATCGAGAATGGACACCCCCCCATCGTATATCCCAGGGTTAGGCCCCAAATTTCTGGTCCATTCGGAAACCCCACGAAGCCTGGGATAGGGGTCGACATATCCCCTGTTAGGTGAAGGCCAACATGCAGCAGCACCTGCTCCACAGCGCGGAGGGGGCGGGCGGCATGAGCAGCGCCCAGGCGGAGCAGTACGAGCGCGCGCTCGGCGAGGCGCGCGCGGAGTGCGAGATGCTGAGGATCGGGTAGGGGATCGACTGCGGAACTGATGCACCCCTGAATGAGGTTTCTCGTCGGTCGGGTCGACGGAAAGTGCCCAGAGTTCTCAGTATAGGAGCGATCGTTCTACACAGTCTCCGTAAGTCCGATGGGGGAAAGCAGTGTGTGGGTGAATCCATTCGGCAGTCCATCCCCTACCTGAGAGGAGGGACATGGACCAGAAGCTGAACGATTCTTCGCAGGTCAGAGACCTCAAAGCGCTGCTGAAAAAGAAGAACGACGACATCAAGGGGCTGCGCCAGGTCGTGGCGCAAGCGGGGCTCCAGCCAGGGGGCGGCGATGGCACCGAGCTGGATACGGACTCCGACTGAGCTTTTTCCCGCAAGATCCGCCGCAGATACTTCTGCGTTAGATGTAGCCTGGGCGGGCTCAATGGCATGAACCTCCAGCTCCACCGCAAGCAATGATGTTGTTTCGAGCGATCCCCACCAAGGAGCTTCAGTACATCACGATACCGGTTCCTAACACTCGTTGTCAGTGTTTGTTCGTAATACAGTCGGACCGCATGACAAGAACCACCCTATGTTTCGTCAGGGTGCCCTGGGTTTCCTTGGCTTGAGTTCGACGTGGAAGGTTATAGCAATCTCGAAGAAACTGTAAATTGCAAGGCACCCTGGGTTTCTTGGACGTGAGTGCGTTTCGGAGCTTGCGTCCGAAGCCTCAAGATACTTCTGGGCATTTGGAGTGCTTTGGTTTTTTTCGCCCCCCATTCGGATTGTTCGCCCCGCGTTGCCCATCTACTGGCGGGCGCTCATCAGTCTGGCAATGGGGCGCCGGCGCATTTCGGGGCGCGAGCCCAGAAAACGGAGACATTTACAAGCATTTATGATACTTTGGGTTTCTTCGTCCGCCACTCCGCCTGTTCCTCCCGAAGCTTACATTTTCGATCGCCTGGGGTTTCTTGGTGTCAAATTCCCCTACGCAAGTGATCAAGAAACCGCTCGGGTCAGGGTGCCGTGGGTTTCTTCGTTCGCAGCCGAAGTGCAAGACACCCCACCCTGGACCATGAAGCCTCGGCGGATTTCAGGGAATCCGCGCTGATCCAGCATGCGCCCCGCGCTCGAACCCGCATCGAAGATCACCATGCGGTCCACGCGCGCGACGCCACGCGCGCGTGCCGAAATCCTTCCAGCACAGCTGGTTCCTGACGCATGTCAACATCGAGCTTTACAGCAACGAGCTGCAAGCGCCAAGCGTTTTTCGACCGCAACTTTGCCAGGTGTCTTGCACTTCACGCGCGCGAGTTTCCTCGCCATGAGCCTCATCAGTGCTGGTGCATCACGCTATGGTCATGGACACTCGCCGCCATTGCCGCCATCATCAGTCAAGCACCTTCATGGCCGTCACACGGGCATCATCGCCATCGTTGGCACCAGCATCGGCGCCGTCGTTGGCTTTGCCGTCGTCGTTGCTATCATCATTGCCATCACCACAATCGCTACTGTCATCATCGTTACCGTCCTTATCGGTGTCATCATGTCACCGCACCCGCCCGAATTACTTACCCGCGTTGAAGTTCCCGCGCGCCATTGCGGCCTTTGAGGCGCGCTGTGAAGTTACCATGGGTAAGCGCCATCGCGGCTACATCGGCTGTGCCAAACCAGCTGGCCGATCTGCGCGCCACCTTGCGCGCGCTAGCGCAGCCGCAGAGATGCGCCAGCCAGTGCCAATAAATAAGTCACCGCAATCACGCAATCATGCACTGCGCGGGGTCCACGTTGGCGAACATCTTCATAGAAACAGCCCCAACCTGTCGGGTCGGGACACGCTTCTGCGGCGCGCGGTCGCCCGTGGCCGGCCCACCAAGGCCTCACGGCCCCCTGCCGCCCCTGATCCCCGCGGCCCCGGTCCGCCGTTGTGCAGCGCTGCTCCGCCGCCGCGGCGCTGTCTCCGCGGTGCACCCGCGCGCGGCGGCGGCTCGTCCCTCGCCCTCTCTCCTCCGCCCGCCTTCCTGTCCCCCGCCCTGGGGGAGACGAGGGCCGCGCCGCGTGGCCATCGTCTTCTTCGTTGTCGTCGTCGTCGTCGTCTTCTTCGTTGTCGTCGTCGTCGTCGTCGTCGTCGTCGCCCTCCCCTCGCGCCGTGCCGCCGAAGCGGGCTCGCGCAGCGGGCCCCTCTTGGGCCCCCCCCCCTTGCAGTGCGCTGCGGGCCCCTCTTGGTGCCCCGGTGGCAGGCTGCGCGGGCTCCGCTCGCCCTCGGCGGGGCCTCTCCGGGGCTGTGCGCGCGCAGCGTCTGCACCTCCCGGGCGCGCCCCGGCGGCAGAGATTGTGCGTCCCGCTCGCCCCCGACGGGAAGCTGCTCGGACGCGAGCTCCTCCCGTAGACACGCTGATGGCGATGTAGGTACCGGCATCGTTGAACCCAGCCCCATCCCCCTCCCCATCCCCTTCGCGAGACCCCCGCCCGATTGCCACCCAAGTTGGGGATACACCCCTCGAAACCCGAAGGGAACGACCTACATCTCCCCATCTGGGGGGTAAATCGACAAGCGGGGCCCAGGCCACGCCGCTGGGGATGGGGATCGGTTAAACAATACCCAAGGTAACGGCGATGCAGGGTTCGGGATTCTAGGTGGGGTTGGCTCGCGGTCAACCCGATTGTAGGACCGCGTTTTTCGCGTGTTCCTACAATTTAGTCTGTGCGAGCTCGGCGTCGCGAGAACCAGATTCCCAACACCGCCGTGAACCAGCATCGCCGTTGGCGTGGCCTTGGCCATCGTCAGCCCATAAGGGTCCCCGCATAGGAGGTTTCCTAGAGACCTCTCCCAGACCTCCCCCCAGCCTGGGGGATGCCTGCCGGATCCCCCTCCCCATCTTGGGGTAGGTCTGGTACCCAACCTCCCTTGGTCCTCCACCGTGCACTGGGGGGCCACCCCCCCAGGCTGGGGGGGGGCCTCCCCCAGGCCCCCCCCAGGCCTGGGGGAGGCCTCCAGAGGCAGGCCTCCCAGAGGTCTGGGGGAGGCCTCCGGGAGGCCTCCCCCCAGCCTGGGGGGAGGCCGCCCCCCAGGCCTGGTGGAGGACCAGGGGAGGCCTCCTGGAGGCCTCCCCCCAGCCTCGGGGGGGGCCTCCCCAGGGAGGTGTCCTCGCGACCTGGGAGACCTCCCCAGGGAGGCCTCCAGGAGGTCTGGGGGAGACCTCTGGGAGGTCTCCCCCCAGCCTGGGGGGAGGCCTCCGGGAGGCCTCCCCTGGTCCTCCTGGAGGCTTGTGAGAGGCCTCCCCCCAGACCTGGTGGAGGACCAGGGGGGGCCTCCGGGAGGCCTCCCCCCAGGCTGGGGGGAGGCCTCCCTCCAGACCTCCCACAGGACCAGGGGAAATCTCCCGGAGACCCCCGGGAGGTTTTTCCTGAGCAGGGGAGGTCTCCAGGAGGACCAGGGGAGGTTTGCCGGAGGCCTCCCCCCAGCCTGGGGGGAGGCCTGCAGGGTCGAAACGACCCGCATGTTAGGGTCAGCCCGTCCCGACTCGTCTCGATTGTTAGGGTCCGCCCTCTTGGCCCGACCCGATCCGCTCGTTCGGGTACTCGCGTGACAGGTCGACGATGTATTAAATTTTATAACCCGCCCGATCCGACCCGACCCGACCTCACCCACCCATTAGGGCCGGCCCGCCCGCCCGGCCTGACCTGCCCGTTAAGGTGCGCCCGCGCGGTCCGGCCCGTTCTGCTTGTCAGGATACTTGCATGCCAACTCGACGATGCATCATATTTTGAAGTCCCGCCTGCCGGACCCGGCCCAGTGAGTCAGTCATTCAGTCACTGAGTCAGTCAGTCAGTCAGTCAGTCAGTCAGTCAGTCAGTCAGCCGCCCGAGTTCTGAGGATGTCTGGAGCCGCGGCTCCCGAGTTGTGAGGGCCTCCAGGCGCCCAAAACAGTCCGCTGTGTTTGAGAGGCCAAAACATCCTGCCCGTCGCCCTCCAGTTACTATCCCGCCCACTTTCCTCTCATGCTCCTGCCTGCCCCCCGCCCCGTCGCCACCTCCTGCACTTCGTCCTCCTGGTCCTCCCGTTCCTCCTGCGGAGGTCACTGCGACCGTACTGCTTGGCCCACGGCCGTTCAAAATCGGCCCCTGGGGTCAATTCACCTCAGTTTCCCGAGCTGCGTCCAGCCGCAGCGACGGGGGGGGGAGGCGAGGGCCAAAAGGGCGAGCCTTGTCTCCGTCGGCTTTCGGGTCATCAGTCGGGCCTCCGGCGGCCGCTCGGGACGATCCTGGCACCGCCGGAACGCATTTTTTGCCCCGGTTTGATGCTTGAGGGCCCCAGAGGCCGAAAACGGATTCAAGAGGCCGAAAACGCACGTGCTTGTTCGCAGGAGGAGGAGGGGGGGGAGGAGGAGGAGGAGGAGGGGAGGAGGAGGAGGAGGTGGAGGAGCCGGAGGAGCAGGAGGTGGAGGCGGAGGGGGGTGCTTCGATCGGTCGTCGGCAGGGTGGCGGCCGTTGCGCCTCGACCGAGAGGAGGAGGAGGGCCGCGAGAAGGAGGAGGCAGCGGAGGAACAGGAGGCGGCGGCGGCGACGGCGAGACGGTGCCCCGCGCGCCGCCCGCGCGCCGCCCGCCGGCCCCGCGCGTGCAAGAGAGAGCGGCGGGGAGGAGGAGGACGAGGAGGAGGTGGGAGGAGCAGGAGGAGCCGGAGGAGGAGGAGGAGCAGCCCTCTTGGGCTTATCTTGGGGGTCTGTGGGGCCCTCTTGGACGCTTCCTGGGGCCCCTCTTAAGCTTCTCCGAGGAGTTCAGACCCAACAGGGGCCAAAACGAAATGGATCAGTGGCCACATGGGTTTTGAGGGGGAAGGTGCAGTAAAGTTCCCGGCGGGGTCTTCGACAGGAGCCCAGAACAGCCCGCTGCACTTCAGGGGCCCTTAAGTGCAGCGGATCTGCTCCTCCTTCGGGGGGGCTCCTGGAGGCCAAGACAGCCCGCTGCACTTAAGGGGCCCTTAAGTGCAGCGGATCTGCTCCTCCTTCGGGGGGGCTCCCGGAGGCCAAGACAGCCCGCTGCGCTTAAGGGGCCCTTAAGTACAGCGGATCTGCTCCTCCTTCGGGGGGGCTCCCGGAGGCCAAGACAGCCCGCTGTACTTCAGGGGCCCTTAAGTGCAGCGGATCTGCTCCTCCTTCGGGGGGGCTCCCGGAGGCCAAGACAGCCCGCTGCACTTAAGGTGCCCTTAAGTGCAGCGGATCTGCTCCTCCTTCGGGGGGGCTCCCGGAGGCCAAGACAGCCCGCTGCACTTAAGGGGCCCTTCATGAGCAGCAGCTCTTTTGGCCCCCTTCCTCCGTCGGGGGCCTCCCTGAGGCCAGAGCAGCACCTGCCCTTCCGGGACCTTAACTGCACGGATCTG